TATTTGAAATTTATAAATGAAAATGTGTTATCATGCTAGCTTTGTTGTAAATTAAAATAGTATAATATTATAAATTTTCAACCCAAATTTGTAAGTCCTTCAAAAATTTACAATTAATATGAAAACATATTCACTGTTAAATCACAAATATATTAGTTAAGTTGTAATTTTTGGAGAATTTATAAATTTCAAAAGTTAACTTGTAAATTGTTTCGTGAAATTTTGTAAATAATAATATTTAAATTTTTATTTAATGAAATAGTAATTTTTTAATAAAATATTATTAAAATAAATATATTTCCTTAATTCAAAAATGTAAGGCATTTTTAATGTTTCAAGATGTAACTATTATGTTTTTTTTTAAATTTATTCATAATAAATAAATCACTTAATATTTACTCTAAAGTAAAACACTATTAAATATGAATAAATATGAAAAATAGTGTTAGTTTGAAGACAATTAACTAATTTATTTGATATGAGATTTAATTAAAAAAAACTTTATATTTTTAAATGAAGAGATTTAATCAATAATAATTTTCTTAGTTTTTTTGTAATTTTTGGTTAACTAACGGTTAAAATTAGTTTTTGTTAACAGCAGAGTCAATATTGCATTATTTTCAATTATTGAAGGAAAACATTGCATTAAAAAAAAAATCCTAACTATTCCTTGTAACATCCTAATTTTTATTTTTCAAAATCAATTTGAGGATCATGCTAATTGAGGTTGATTAGGGTTAAATTGTAAGCTCGCACTTTTTCCTTCAACACTTAACCAAAATCACCATTATAATTATAAGACTAACTCAAAGAGATTATCATAACTCATTTGAAAACAAATTGACTATAGTTAAAATAAAAAAAACCATAGTATAAGAGAAAATTCAATCAGACCAAGTCAATTATTCATCTTTCTTTCCAATTTTTAATCTCTAAAACCATAAAAGATATAAAGATTGGATCCCAAGTTTTCTATAAATAAAAAAACATAAAGCCAAGTAAAACTAATATATATCAAATTATATGCATTTTTGAAAGTATGGAATATCAATTGATACTTAAATACTTGAAAATAGGTTAAAAATACCAAGAAGAAATAGAATAGGGGAATGCATCACAACTTGTCCTCTCATTACCATGCACCATGGTGCATTGCACAGATTATGATTGTATTATGTTGTTAATGCTGTCATTTAACAACACAAGGGCTAAACTTTTGACATGCCTCACATTTCTATCTAACATTTAAATGAAATGATTTAGGTGTCCACAGAAAACTCATTCTTTGAACTAGTTAATAGTACATGTTTAGCTACAAATTAATTCACATTAAAAAGTTAGACATTCAAACACAAAGAAATCACTTATTCACATTTGATAACAATAAGGGTGCCTAAAACCTAACCAACTTGCCAAAAACTTAAATCTATATCTAGATCATACTTTTTAAACTCAAGACAACTTCTGCAACATACCAAAACAATCATGTCACTCTTGTAACTCATTTTCTCAACCCCTTGATCTCAGAAATATTAAGGGGAGATATTTTCCATAAATCTATGAATGTACCAATCACATGCATTTACAATCTTACACATATCTACTATTATACTTACACCAATATTTTGGCCTTAAACAAATGACTCATTCACGTCACATAATATTAGGGCCCAAAATACAATTTATCGATTTAACAAGTAAATGGTGCAAGTAAATGTATGAATTAAAATATATAATCTTAGTTGGTAATGTCAAATCTTAATTACACATAAAGCCTACAATAGGAACCATAATATTATGCTTCTGGTGCTTTCCCTTATCTTGTCTTGAGCTAATCCTTGTAAAATGTTAAGAAGAGAAGTAAATATAGTCACTTAGTAATTAAGGTATATCTAATCTATAAATTGCAAGTCAATTGATTATAAAACAGGCAAAATGTGCACATAACATGTAATAACATCATATATGCATCTAATCATAGCTCAAGCTATCATGTACCATCACAAGCTATCATTGTCACAAATTTAGCAAGCATATGACAAATACCAATGATATGTATGATCAACACCTCCCTTATAATATCTTAATACTTTCGATTGAAACTGTGAGCTCTTAAATCAAATAGAGCTATGCTCATATGAATGGATTACCCCAAACTCACTAATTATGATAAACAACCTAGCCAAAGGTCATTACACTCACTCTCAGACCATGATTTCTCTCATTCTCGAATTCTTAAGGTGTCATTGTCGCTAAGTTAGTCTCCTTTAAGAACAGGTTGAGACATGCTAGGTTTAAGTATCTCGACAAATTGCGGGATAAAAGCTAACCTTCGGTTACTAAAAGACAATCATATCACCTAGATTTATATCTACTCCCCTTTATAGATAAAATCCCTTCAATCATGATCATACAATAAACATGCTCACACACATAAAGCATGGCACTATTTCATGCCATATACTCAAACTCAATTTAGCATATTTCACAACATAATTTGACATGCTCATTATTTCAAATAACATGAAATCAATATAACATCATGCTCGAAGCATTTACATGCCACATATCTCAATTTCATTATCATATCCTCTTTCACTATCATAATCATCATCAACTTCCAATTCAAGAAAATAATATTAACACGTATAAATTTTACATTGTTATAAGTTATTCTGATAATCAAAGCTCTTTAACCTATAACCTCATTAAATTACATTCTACTCAACCTCACATCAATCAACAATTTCAATTCCATGCTTGCATTCATTTTTTTTTAAAAAAACATATTCCATATTTAGCAATTATAAACTTGATTTCACATATTAAAGAAATATATTTACAAAACTCTTCAATCAATTGACAAGAAAATGCATAAACTGGATTTCTTTCTTATTTATTTTAAACATTTGAGAGGTCAAATACTTACCCCTAAAACACAACTCATTTTCAATGTTATTTCCAAGTTAGAATGGTACACAAAATAATTAATCTACAGTTAATCATATTAATCATCATTAATAACATCATAAATATTTTAAACACCTATAACTCCCAAATCTTGGGTTTAAGCATAACTATTAGGCATAATAACTCCCATTGGCCTTAAATAACTTCTTTAAGCTCATTAATCATAATTAATAGCTTTCAAAATCTTCGACCAACATAATAAATGTAAATTTTCATCGATTAATGAATGAGAGTGTAACAGCCCTCCGCTCACCCCGCCTACCCGAGGTCTTTTGTGGCGCTGGACACTCTCTCCCCCCAGGCCCCACAACAGGGCGACCCCACCCCTTACGGTGAGCATCAGGAGACGAAGGCTTCCCCGCAGTAGTGTGTAGGATTATTCCCCTTGCGGAGAGCCTCCCCAGGTTCGATCCTCCAACCTCTCCTACATAACAAAGTTGAGGCTGAACCTGGTACCATTGAGTCAATTGAATAATCCTGTCAGCCTTCGTCTCCTGATGCTCACCGTAAGGGGTGGGGTCGCCCTGTTGTGGGGCCTAAGGGGAGAGTGTCCAGCGTTGGGAAAAGACCTCGGGGAGGCGGGGTGACCCAGAGGGCTGTTACAGAGAGCGTTAAATTCTCAAACTTTAGTTTAAATATCTCGAACAACTCTTTGTAGTTCCATTTAAACCAATAAATTTGGACCCAATGCCCTATATGTCCAAAAATCATTCTTTCACAACAAACCCTAACTCAAAAATTAGCTAAAGAGGGAGAGGTGAGAAAGGGAAGCTTACTATAAGTGATTAAATGCTCATATCATTCATTGACAAATCAAGAAGTCATGCCCTAGTAAAGCCAAATGCAAATCTCCTGGCATTCTTTTGTTTCTCCTTTGCTTTTTGTCTCACATGCTCTTGCACCAAAACGGATGGTACAAAGAGGGTAAATTTTCATTTTTCCCTCCATTAAGGGCCCAAGTGGCCCAATTCTACTCTATATTTGATTTAAAGGCTATCATCACAACTCAATAAGTTTGTTAACCCTCTCTAATCATACACTAACCCAATGCTACTTTAATTTACTTAAATTTGCCTACTTATCTTTTATCAACTTAATTAATTAGGAAGCTAATTTTCAGGATGTTGCATAAATTAAATGATTAAATTTGATAATTTGATTTTAAATTGAGCCTAGGATTGATTACCTAAAGTGTAGGAGCCCCAAATGAAGTGTTGAGCTTGTATTAGGCCCAACAACATGGGTTAGATGCTAGATTTGTGCCTATATACCATGCACCACATAAAACACAAAAAACAAGAGAGAGAGTGTTCGGCGGTGCGAATGAAAAGCTCTCTATTAGGGTTTGGTAGAGGCAATGATTTCACATATTTTTGGAGCCCTAAATCATTAAGATACCTTTCCTTAACCCATTATTTACCCTCTAATCATTTCTTGGAACTAATTCTTCAAGGAAAAATGCCTAAATGCCTAGGGTTCTTTCATGGCTGGGATTTCCAACCATGGGTTCAAACCGCATTAAATGAGCTATTGGCCCATGGAGTCAAATTGCTCATTTCCTAGTGACTGGCTTACTCATTAAATGCACAAGGACAGCCTCAAAACTAGAATTTTGTGCCCATGAAGTCAAATTGCTCATTCCCTCGTGCCTGGCTTGCTGATTAAATGCACAAGGACGGCCTCAAAACTGTAATTTTGAATAATCAACCCCCCAGTTGCAAACAAGTCCAGTCTAATGATTTTACTTAATTCTTTATAATATGCATAGCTTTGTTGTGGCCTCGTAATCTTAAAAAAATTGCTCATCTCCACAGATTTAATCTCCTTCTTTTCTTTAGGCATAAGCCTAAGAGAAATGAAGATTAAAACGATCAATTATATAAAGTATAAGGTAGCCTAATGCAGTTTATCTCAAACTTCATGCAAATCTACAGAGCCAGGATGCTTCCGCTGGTGAGATTCTTGAATCCCCAACAAAAAAATAAACATAGAAGAGAACAGGGAAGGGAATGGAATTCCAAAGCCATGCATTTGGAAAAGGAAATAGTAAATTGCAACATTTTTTTTTTCTTTCTAAATCAACATCGGCCCGCTTAAAAATGTAGTTCTCTAATTAAGCAATGGGAAACACAGATACCAGTTAAACCATGTCCTAAAGTAGGCCTCCTTATGAACTAAACAGAAACATCCCAAGTTAGAAGCCACATTCGTTACAACACAAATTAATATTATAAGCCTTGAAAACGCTTCTTTTACTTCTTCCTTTTCTTTGGGGGCTGCAGTGCCTCCTCGTCTTCCTCGTCCTCCTCATCTTCTTCCTCATCCTCTTCGTTCTCCTCTTCTTCAACGACCTCCTCTTCATCTTCCTCCCCACCGTCATCCTCTTCATCATCATCGTCCTCGTCCTCGTCTTCATCGCCATCATCATCCTGGTCATCATCTTCATCACCTTCCTCTTCCTCTTCTCCATTCTCTTCAGCACCACCAGCACCACCTTCTGGAGCCAGCTTCTTCGGGTTGCTCTTGCCGTTGGAACTTTTGTCATGCCCACCTCCTTCTTCAGACACGTCCTCCTCGCCCTCCCCAGCTCCATTATCTCCATCCTCATTCTCACCTTCATCTTCGTTGTCGTCATCTCCGTCTGCATCAACTTGTTTGTCCGAGCTTTCAGTATTGTGATCCCCCTTGACTCCAGTCGTGTTAGCTATTAGGAGGCCAAGGTGATCCTGCAATCATTTAATTTATCCAGATCACATAGAATGATGCTTTAAGCTGGACACATTGTGATGGAACTATAAATCCAGCAATTGAAACAGAAGAAATTAACTATGAAATAAGAAAAAGAAAATAAGAATCATAAACTTGAAAGCTGCACAAGCCGCAGAGGAGAATCTGGCTATTTAATTCGCAGACTTAAGTTTTCATATATGTTCAAACATCAGAGAATAACAACGTGCCTTTTAGCTTATAAAATCAACTTTAGGATAGATCCGTGCCCCTCTTTCAAGTTTCGAAAGATTTAGAAAACTACACAATTATCGCTTTAGTTTTTAAAAATGAAAATTTCAACTCCAGCTACTTCCTTGAAATATATATATATATATATATATATAACATAACTACCCACCATACAATAAAAAATAAATTTGAGTTTCACACCAAAATATCATTTATCTATTACTTATATAATATAACAAGTATTGTATTATATATATGACCACAATAAATAAATCAAGATTTTAAATTTAGAAAATTAAAAATCATTAGAAAAATTATTAAAAAATCACAAAAAATGAGTTCTAAATTTAAAATTATAACCAATGACATAATTTAAAAAAATATTTATATTCAATTTGCATCATAAATTTTAGTATTATAAGTGTTAATTTAACAAAAAAATTTAAATAATAAATATGTATATAATATAAAAAATATATAAAACTCTAACATACCTTACAGCTTGCACTGAAAATTAAAAAATAGATTTTTTATTTTTTCGGCCAGATAATTTTTAAAAAATTAATACCATTTTTCAAAAAATAATTGTATGCGTAATCTATATTTTTCATTTGAGGAAGGGGCCTAAAACAAAAGCGCAATGCAGCAAGACGATGTCGAATTGAAGACCTGAGGTCTACCTGTCATTGTCGACCCAACGACAACGGACTATACATCACTGGTGACTACGCGATGTAATGTGACCCATCGTACTATATCCCACCCCTAGCTCGCGGAGATACCCGGAACAACAAACGAACCGACACGTGTCAGTGTTAGTGCCTCATAGAGTCATAAATATGAGCATCTTCTAAGGAATAATCCATCTTCAAATCGTCGCCCAAAAAAAAAAAAAAAATCCATCTCCAAATCGAATCCAATACCGCTCCCTCACCATCTTGACTTTTGACCTTTTCTCTTGTACGATTAAAACAATAATAATAATAAAATAATACAAAGACACGCATCCAGAAGCACGGTTCCACGTGGCACAATATCAGGGCCTAAATTAAACCAAAAATCTCTCCGGTCCTTGGAGTTGGCTTCACTCCTTTTTTTTTTTTTTTCTTTTCATTTTCTCTTCACATTCCATTTCAATTATTTAAATTTTAATTTTTGAAAAGTTAAATAATTAAAATTTAATTATTAATAAATTAATTTAACGGTTAAGATGAAAAGTGGAGAGAAAATGAAAAAAGAGACAGAGAGAGGAGAAATGGAGAAAAGTCGGGCCCGTCCCTGATTACTATCCGGCGCACCTTAGCAAAGCGCCGCGCACCGAAGCCGACCGCAGTGCGCCCACGAAAGGTCAAAACCCCACACACACAAACCTCCATAGAATTGGAACGGGAGAGGGGGCGCACGTTAGCACGGACAAAAATATCGCATTCAAAGGCTACAACGATACCTACGACCAACTAAACTGCAAAATTCAAGTTGAAAGAACAAGAGACGGCAAATTCTTTTCAAATGATAGAGATAGCTCAAGGCAGAAGTGGTAGATCTAGGCTAATTCTTTTGACGACGCTACTATTAGTTTCGAAGATTTCGAGTCAGTGACTCACCGGGGCCAAAAGTTGGGTTCTGACGAGAGCAACCACCAGAGAACTCGCCAAGGCTCCCACGGCGCATGTTAGCACGCCGTAATTAAGCGGGACCGTTACCGAACTGTAATTTGCATCCATTTCGTGCCGCAACTCAGTCTCAGTCAGATACCTGCACAAACCAGAAAAATAATGCTTCATAAATATATTAAAATCTTGGAACAAACTTACTTTGTCGGTCACAAGGAAGGATTAAGCACCTTCAGCTAAAGACTTGCGGATGAATTTCTGAGAAAATCAGATATAGAAAATCGTATGAAAGCTTCTATGAAATAACTAGTCGAAATTGTCAGAGTTCAAACAAATTCGGTAAGTTCTACCTAACTACCTAATCTGGAGCCAAGAGGCAAAGCCAGTGGAGAATTCAACGCAAAAATTGAACCATCAAGAAAGAACTGAAGCACAGAAGGCATACAACAAGAAATTGCAAAGAACGAAGAAGATGCTTTGAATTGGAGAGAAGCGTAGAAGAGAAAGGTAGAGAGAGCATACCAGGAAGGAAGATCCGAGGACTGATAGGCTAGATCTGAGGGTTTCGAGCTCTAAAACTGAGCAAAACGAGCAGAATAAGCTCCATTCATTCTGGACCGTCCGATCCTGATCGTTGAAACGCAGAGAAGCAAGGCGTAGAATATCAGCGAGGTCAGTGAGAGGGAGGGAGAGATAGTGAAGACCGAATGCCCGTAATTTCTCAGCCAAGTATCGGGCTGGACGGGCAGCGACATCAGTGAGGGAGAGGATCGGAGGATGGGTTCGGGACTGCCCCGATTATAATTTTATTTTATTTTTTAATTTTTTTTGCCAACTGCCCCATCAGTGTTTTTTTTTTAGTATGGATTTTTTTGGGCCATGGACAATTTTGGGCCTGATCACCCACATCCATATGAAGATATTAAACTTTCTTCTTTCTTTTTTTAATGGAAAGGCAAGCCTGAGGCTTGAGGTTCAAAGATATCAAACATTGCATGATAAACTGTTTACTAGTCATTCACTTATTGTTGTTATTATATATCAAATTTTGTGGTAATTTTATGGAAATATATTATTTCATTAACTTCGAAAATATGTGTCAAAAAACACGAATATTATTAATATTATAATATGTGTGGATGTCCATAAAAAAGTATTTTAGATTTCTTTTATAACTCCAAAGTAAATTGTTTCTCGAGAGTTTTATATGATTAATATATCTAATTTTCAAATAGTTATATATTGTACAATTATGAAATTTAATTATTTTTGTGTAGCAGTAACTCTTGGATGTTATCTAAAGTTGAAGTCTAATAAATAGTAGCCTAACAAAAAAATTGTACACGCGTCCATGATTTGTGAATAAAAATTCTCACCTCATTTCTTTTCCACATTTCTCTTGTGCCTATACTGAGATGTTCATTTTCTTTTACTTTTTATGAAAAAAAAATAACTTTAGATAACAACACTTTATTTGAGTTTTGCTACATATCCTTATATTTTTTTTTCTTATATATTAGATCCCTAAACTTTTATTTTTTTTATAAGTCCTTCCATGAATAGTGTTATAGAGATCTAAAATATAAAAAAAATGTAGATATTTATAGCAAAATTTAAGTAAAGTGTAAGGACCTGAGGTTATATTTTTTCAAAAAATAACTTAAAGTTATTTTATTCTTCATAAAAAATATTTTCTTCCCTTTATTTTTTATTTAGAATTATATTCATCAATTATCTATCCTTCGTCTCGAAACACACACAAACGAAATTATTGTTTATAAGATATAAATGATATGACTCGATTTCTATTTTTGATAATGGCAAAACAAATTATATTTTTTATATTATTACACTTTATAATCTGACTTAGAAATTTCAAAATCCAGATGCATTCATTTTTCTCTAATAAAAAAGTTCTAGTTTAGTAGTAGAAATTAATTGAAATTTTAAACGGCTAGATACTATTTCAACACAATTGAAAAAGTCCAACAAACTATTTTTTTAAATAAAGATAAAAGGCTTTATTAAATATTGATTTGTTTAGGATAATAAATTTTTGATCTCTTAAGTTTGGTTTACTTATTACGTTGATTTTTGAAATTTAATTTTTATCAATCAAGTCTATAAAGTTTCATAACTATACATAGCCAGTCCTTTTTGTTTGAAGGAAAAGTAGTATCATAAAAACTAATTATATATTCCCTCCATTATAAAATATAAGGTATTTTTTAAGGAGTTTGATATTTAAAAATATGAGATATTTTTTATCTTTTAAGGTGTAATCATTGCTTCTTCCTTTTTCAAAAGTGTCCCTATTGATAAATGACTTTATATTTATTGTAGAGTATTTAATAGAGGTAAATATGAAAAGATAGGGTTAGTTTGAAAGTAGGTAATTACTTTATTGGGGTGAAATTCAGTTAAAAATGTCATATATTTTTAACAGAGGGGATATGTGTTTGGATTGGTTTTGGTGGGCTCAGCAGAGAGATATTGGTCAAAGCTTAATCCATTTCTATGAAATATGAGCCCATCTAATAGTTAGCCTTGACAAAGCTAAATGGAAAGGTGTATTTAGAGAGCTTGCAACCCATTCTCATCTATTTTCCCCACTACCCAAAGTATACAATACACTCACACATGTCTCTCTGCACAATAGAGTGCACCATTGCTAATCTAACAGTGTTGATAATTATTTACTCCTTTTGGCAGCAAAATTCAAATTTAAAGGAGCATACCATTACCATTTTTTTAATAAATATACAAGCAACATGTAACATCTTAGTTTTTAATGGCCTAATTTATTAAACCTAATTAGGATAATTAAATAAGTTGAAGTAGTGTGTAGTCAGGGAGGTTTAATAAGCATATTTGATTGTATTTTAGCCTAAATTATGGGTCTAGTACTAAGTCAGGCCACCTAGGCATCAAAAGAAGAAGAAAAGGAAGAGTTGATGTTGCTATACCACATGCCGCGGCATGGAGATCGTCCACCGTGGCACACAGACACTTTTGATATGAGGAAGGACCTCTCTATGCCATGCGCCATAGTGCATTGTGCGTCCACTGTCGCACATGGCCATTTTTTGCAGATATTAATTGCAAAAATGAGACAAAAAAAGAAAGAAGAGAAAAAAGAAAATGGAGAGATGTGCCAAAGCTTTACTAGATTTTGCTTGTGGACAATATATTTTGGAAGCTACAAACACTCAAGGTAAGTATCACACTCATTAATCTTCACATTTCTTTCACATTTATGAATTTAAAGTTAGGGTTTGATAGTGGAAGTGGATTTTTGGTCCCTATAATTATGTCTGAATTTATTGACTCAAATGGAGTTAATGGGAGTAGATTAGAGTATCTAAAGCTAGTATAATGAATTTTTGATATCTTAAGTTGTTGGACACCATTAATATCCGAAAATCTCATTTTATTATGAGTGGCTGCAAGATTGTGATGCCATTAATGAAAATTTAATGATTCATTAATGTTATTGGGGACTAAAAATAATTAATAAACCTAAAGGATAGGCTTAAATTCTTGTAGAGTGAATGTTAGGCAATTTAGAAGTAGAGGATTGAGGGTTTAATGCTTGAGTTGACAATGTTAATGAAACTCAACTTGGTTGGTCGTAGTTTTTGGCTCTTGGTCACCCATTTAGCTTGGAAATTTAAGCTTGGAGGCTCTTAGATTGAGGGGTAAATCTTTGACCTCTCAAAGGTTTGAGGTAACCAAGGAAAACTCTACTTTAAATAGTTATATATTAATTGATTGTGAATTAATTTCTATTGTGAGTGTGGCATGCATGGGTTGATTTTCAATGTGAAAAACATATGCTAGTTTCGATGAGTATATAAAAAATTGAATGTGCATAAAGTTATTATGGCTTGAAATGCAAATGCCTAATTAAGATGTTTTGAATATAAACATGCATATGTCTTTAGAAAAATAAATGAAATGATGTGTTGTAAATGAGAAATTGTAATTAAAAAATAAGTGTAAGTGTTATAAGCGAAAAATAAGAAATTGATGTGCACTTGGATAGCGCACGATCGTGAGCCCAACGTGATTGTGGTGATAATGAGTAAATCAAAATAAAAGTGTGAAAATGAGTTAGTATTGATTATGGTATAATCAGTGGCGGAAGTTCGCCTAGGGATTGAAAGTAAAAAAAATTCATATGGTATTTGGGTTGCTTTCGGTGCACAGGGGTATAGTCTTGTCCCATAGTTTGTTGAGGAACTAGAACCTAGCTATCTTTACTTGTTCAATGAGAAAAATAGCCTAAGGTATAAGACACCCTAGGGATTCAAGAATGGAGAAAGCCGTGGTCTGAGAGTGAGTCTTGTGATCTTTGGCTGAGTCATACCTCACGATTAGTGAGTTTGGGTAGTTCAGTCATACGGACGAAGTCCTATTCAATGTCATAACCTACAATTTCAGTCTGAAGAAATAAAGAGGATATAAGGTTATTTGATCATTGTCTAATTAAACATATGACGTGTCACACGTGCTAAATTGTGGTAAGTTGCGTGAATAATGGGTCAAGGTCACATATCTGAGAATATGATGACAATGCACTTAGTATATGTAAGTTAAAGAAGTTATTAAATGATAAATAATAAGTTATGATATGTGTGAGTATGTTTTACTTACTTAGTTTCTTATGCATGTGCTTGTCTTATAATTGATATATAACTATATAGGGTCGGCTTTATCTTAGTGACTGAGTGACTAAACTCACTTCTTTCATTTAACATTTTTTATGCTCTAACTTTGATGCAGAGGGAGAAGGCTCTAGAGGTTAGGAATTAGCATATTTCTACTATATGCCTCTAGCTTAGATTTATTTTGTGTAATTGTATATAAATGCCAATTCTAAAATGCATACCATCATACTTGCACTATTTTGTTATTGCAAATGTTAAATTTGTATTTTAAAGTCTGAGTATTTGTGTATGTTGAAATATATATGTTTGTAGGGTCAAAATATTAGTGCAAGTGTAGAAATGATGATTTAAACATGTTTAGATTGATTTGGATGCAAAGTAATGATAATTTATCTCCCCCTCTATTTTTGATAAAATGGGGTTGAGGAGTGAATTTTTGTTATACCATTGTTTTAGTGCTTGTGACGTGTTATATTAGTAGTCTTAGGTTCAATGGACATAGTCCAGGTATTAGAAAAAAACTTTTAGCACTTATTGAGGGTTTTGGACACCCATTTTGTGTGAAAGTTGTGAAAAATGGTTAAAATATGTTTAGGTATCTAACTTCTCAACGTGACTTGTTTTGAAAGTGAAACCTATGCCATTAGCTAGTTCATGTAAAGAGCTTTCCATAGATACTTAGATCACGTCATTCGGACGTCGGACTAAGAATCGGGGCGCGTCGAAAGTTCCCCAATTTTGCTGTTGAACGATAGCAAAATTAGTTGAATTTTCATGCAACATGTTACGGTGCATAGTGCCTGAGTCATGGTGCATGGCATAGAGAGCAACACGTTACGGCATAGTGTGCACAAGTCGTGGTGTACTTCTCTGTCACACATTATAAGAGTCATTTTTCACTTGTTTTTGATTTCTGTTACTCCTCCAAGGTATCCCATGTTTTCATAACTTATTTTTACTCTGATATAAAGGATTTTGATTAATTTAAACTCATTTTTATTTAAAAAATTTGAGATCTCTTGAATTTGAACTAAAGCTTGGTAATCACTTTTTGA